ACGCGAACATAAAACATATTGAAAAAAAAAAAAAAGGTTCTCAAAAAAGACTGGAAAAAGTATATGTTATGTAGAATAACAATACAAGCAACTTTTGCCTTGGAGTCATGTTCAAATTCGTAGCCAATCACGAGTTCAAAATCAAAAACCGAAAAGAAAAAAAAAAAAAAGAAAAAAAAAAGAATATATATATATATATATATATAATATATTTTACGAAACGAAAATTATGTTCGCCCGAACATGTTCACGAGCTGTTCGCGCGAACGCGCGAACACGTTCGTCGTGCTACGCAGGTTTGAATCATGAATTTAGCATCGAGATTCAGGACATCAATCGTTGAGAGTTTGAAATTTAGAACCAGACTTTCAGAATTTCCAGTTGAAGCATCTGAAATTGGACTCACGAATATACCAAATCAAAGGAGATAATCCTGATCGTGATTAAGATCACCTCTGAGGAAAAGACCTATGGCCAAAACGTGTGAGTTTTCGGAACGAAATCTGAATCAAAAGTAGAAAAACACCCAAATTAAAACAACGAATATGGTAAATCCCTAGGAAGATTCCTGTCTCTTGTACACATCTAGATGTGTATAAGAGACAGCCCCTACTCTGCCCCTACCCTCTTGGAGACATTCACCCCCCTCCTTGCGATGCCTCTGCAGGATAGAGCTCCCCCCACCCCCTTCCCGCCATTCAGTCCCCCGGGAACGATCCAATCCAGCCGATCAATAACACACTTACCAAATATCGTTCGCTTGAAATTTTGTCGAATTTTGTCGACGACGATAGCAGCGCCCTAAAGACGATGACAATGAGAGCTAGTGATGATGATGATGATGGCGCAAGTGAGAGTCAAGACGGAATGATGGTGCTGATCATACCGAAGAGCAGCACCATCAGCCCCTATGATTACGAACTAATGATGATATTGAGAATGATAAAGATGATATAATGATGGCGATGATGATGGCAATATCGACGATGATGATGATGATGATAAGCTGATGATTATATTGATGATACATGCCCCAAGGATGATGTTGATGGTGATGTAAGTAACAATGATAATGATGGTGATAATGGTGATGAGAATAATAACTCGCAACGCCCTCTAGTGGCTACAAGAAAGTAATGGTGTGCTGACGAGCACCTTGGATAGCAAGCTAAGAATGGTAACGATGAAGATGATGATGATGATGATGATGAAGATGCTGACGCGCAGCGTCCTATGATAACTACGAGATGATGATGGCGAAAACGTTGGTACTATCGCCAAACTTCATATACCCTGATGGTGATGACAAAACGTACCGTAATGCTGATGATAGTGATAACAACAGCGCCCTGATGACGATGACAAACCCTTGCTGCGATGATGCTAACAAATCTCGCCCGGTTGATGATGATGGTGACGAACGCAGGAGTGTCGCCGATGACGGAGATGCATACAAATCAAAATCACCGCACTCGATGTCGCCTCCAATCCTCCTCCCGCTCCATGTAAGCTCGCGCTCCTCCCTTCCGTCCGCGTCAAACCAGCCACCCACCACAGCACTACGCAGACCAAGGAGCAAAAGCCATAGAAGGCTAAACTTCTCAAGGAGACCCACCTCCTCTCGTCAGCAGGTTCCCCTTCACCCAACGTGTCAACCCGTAACACCCACTGGATGAAGCGTGAAGCCGGAGATGGCGCTGAAGCGCTTTCAAAAGGTAGCCAGCACCGAGTCGCGCTCTATCTCCCACCCGCCCGCCGTCCTCCTCATCGCCCCATCGCCAAGGCGTCATCGCGTCGAGACTGCCCGCGTCATTTCCAAGCCGCAGGGCACCCCCGAACTGCCCGTATGAGAAAGCCAGCCTGGCGAGCGACCTCATCAGAGAAAAATGGCTGGGCAAGGTACTGGTGGTTTAATAACAGTACGGCATTAACTTATTAACGACTGCGTCCGAGAAAAATCTTCAAAAATGGCTGGGCGAGGTACTGCTGGCTTATTAACAGTATAAAGTACTATAAACGGGATGCTGGCCTGGTTCCCGGCACGTGCTGCTCCCCACGAATAACATGGGAGCCATCACAAATGCGGACCCCCCCAGCAGGCATGGGACAAGGGGTCCCATTTGCACGGAGTAAGGGGTTTTGGCGGTTGATCTCCTTGCAAGTGGGACCTAGCCCATGCACTCTTTCAGCTGACGGTCCATCATGGCGTTTGCCGCGATAGACTGTGGTTTTCTTTTTCTTTTTCTTTTTTTTTCTTTTTTTTTTCCTTTTTTTTTTTTTTTTTTTTTTTTTTTTTATTTTAGAACAGTGGCCCCTGCCAGCATTGATTCCCTTGCAACCCAGGGGGTTGACTGAGCAGGTCTATATAGTGTTCTATTGCCATGTGTACCTCTTCACCCTCAAAAGAAGGGCGCCAGCTAAAGCAGTGAAGGGCTGGTACTATTTCCAGTCGGTGGCATGAACTAACTGTAATTTCATTTTACGTTTTAGAGAACGTGCTGGGGAGCCCTCTCTCAAGTCAGATCTTTGTGACCTAATCAGATCTGTATTTTCGGTGACATGGGATAGATCCTTAAACCCCTAAACCCTTTCCTCTCCCTGGTATTGGATACCCTAACAGTATCGTTCCCCTTTCTTTGCTTCATTTCGTCAATCCCTCCCATACCATTCCAAACCCATCAAGCAGTTGGACGGGGGGGGGAAGGGATCGGGGAAATCTTCGCTGGGTCTCATCGGCATTGCTGTATCGATCTTGGTCTACTCACGAAAAAGGAGCCGGTAGTCTCTCACTAGATTCTTTCTTCCTTGTCCCTCCCCTAGGTCCTTTTGTCCCCCTTGACCGTGGGTAGGTGGAATGATCCGCGGATTCGCACATCTGCGGATCATTCCACCTACCCATGCACTCTTTCAGTTGACGGTCCATCACGGCGTTTACCGCGATCGACCGTGGGTTGTGGAACGAGCGAATGATTAAACCACCAGTACTTCCTAGAGTCGTGCCCGTTGAGTTTAGGAAACGCATGGGCTACTACAGGAGCGCCCAAGTTCGTCGGACCAGAAACATTTCTACTCTTTTTTTTCCAGCGGCCGATATCTGGGCCAAGTACCGGTGGTTTAACCGAATGTGTTGTACTCTAATTGTATCATTCAAAGTGTGTGTTACTTGCCTTGCGGTGCGCTCTTTCGTTTGTTATCATGTACTTTTTGAGTCTGATCAACTTGGATGCTTTCCAAAAAAAAAAAAAAAAAAGATAAACTTGGATGCTTGACATTCCACATAGACCATGCGCTCTTATCCCCTATCTAATGATGGGCCGCAGTTGTTGATGGTTTTATTTCCCTTTTGTTTTGTCCTTTTTTTGTTTTTTTGGCGGGGACAAATGCTCCAGTGTATTCGTGGGGAGCAGCACGTGCTGGGAACTGGGCCCAGCGCAGTTGTTGACGTTGAAAAAGACAAGAAGAAGAAGAAGAAGAAGAAAGGGGAGGNTGATCACCCCCGAGGAAAAAATTGAGAGAAGAGTATAGTTTAAAAAAAAAAAAAAAGGAAAGGAAAAAAGAAGAAAGAAAAAAGAAAAAAAAGAAGGATTCTCTTCCAGCCTCTGACAACTCTCTGGGGCGAGGTCCCACGAGCAACGGGATAGGATAGAAATGAGTTTGTGGGGCAGTTGAGTGACCCAAATCCTGCCGTGCAGTACTCATGATCCCACGGTCAGTATTTTACATGTATTACCTGAAAAAGTAAGGAGATCTTTGTCGACCCAGGAGTTGGTGAGGGGTGAGGAAGTCAAGGGGACGACGGGATAACAACCGGGGACGAAGCCCGATCGCCCGCATCACGACGAAGGCGAAGTCTTAGAGTGGCTCGAGATGGCGGAGAAGACGGAGCCGGTGATTCGCTCCTTCGGCGGCGTCGACTTCCTGATCCCTCTGCCATGGCTCCATGTCCATTGCTGTTCCTGGCGGCCCGTGGACGGATATCTTCGGTCGGCAACAGTCGGCGTCATGGAATTGTCCGCCAAGGGTACCCTTTGGCGGCCTGCCGGCCTCCGCGACGTCGAAAAGGGGCTGCCTTGCGTCGCTGCCTTTTTCGTGGCCATTTTTTTTTTTTTCGCCGCCAACTTTCGAATTCGCGACGCCCACCCGAGCTGGATCAATGACGTTGGCACGGACACACCTTGCTGGACCAACCTCGCCCCCCCCTCGCGTCCGCTTGTCGATATATGAAACTGGCCGTGGAAGGCCCCGAGGAATCGTCCTCGGGGAACAATTCCGAGGATGAGTGGAAAGACGGCGCGAATTTCCTTGGGCGACGATGGGAGAATTTCCTCGGGCCCCGAGGACGGCCCGCGGAGTGTCGAACGAGTCCCGAAGCCTCCAATGCTGGGGCCCACTTAAACCACCACTACCCCCGTGTCCAAAATTTGGGGGGACAGGTAGGCCAACTTCAGGATTCTGCTTGTGGCCTACCGGTCGCTGTGTGCCGGGCTGACCCAGCCTGAGGTCTCCCCAGTTGTCCCAGGCGGGGGGAGGCATGAACGGGGCGAAAACGTCGCGGCCAGACTGGCAGTTGAGAGAGCCTCAGGGAACATCAGGCCCCAAGACTCAGATACACCAACGGAGTAGGGGACCACACGTTGAGAGAAAGTCCAGTTCATGCATTTTCACTTCGAAGATCTCTACACCTCTCAGCAGCTCCCAGGGGCCCAGTGACGTCTGACTCTATCACCTGTATCATATTGCCAAGCACGCACCGTGGCGCTGCTCTGCAACACCACTTAACTCTTGTACAGGGAACCAACTGTGGCTGCAGTATAGTACTAGTTGTCAGCCTAACTGTGCCTGCTGTATAGTAGTAGTTGTCAATCTCTTTGTAGGCAATCAACTGTGAATGTCGTATACTAGTAGCTCTCAAGCCCTTTGTAGTGTCTCCATCCGGACACATGTTGTTTGTTCAAATACATAATCCTGGGGAGCTGCTATTCTGGCCGTGAACATTGTGCGGAACTTCGGCCCGCTGATCTGCCTGTCACTGGTCAGGGAAGGAGGCGGGCCATGGCTGCAGCGGCTGCACCTGTTGGAAGCGGCAAAGCCAGTGTAGCCCACACTGCCGTTGATGAGACCAGTGTCGATGGCGCTTTCAAACGTACGGATTCAGCCTTCAGAAATTTCATCACGGAGGATGGATCGAGCGGATTTCCGGCGGTCGCTGGGCGTTATCACCTGTATATTTCGCTTGCTTGCCCGTGGGCATCTCGCTGCTATGCTTTCCTCGTTCTCAAGGGATTGGAGGATGTCATCGGCCTCTCGGTGGTGAACCCAAAATGGGAGAAGACCCGAGAGGGGGAGAGTCACCTGGGATGGGTGTTTGCCACGTCGGACAATGAGGAGCCTGGGGCGACCGTGGATCATTTGTATGGAGTCAGGACTGTCCGTGATCTGTATGATATGGCAGATGCTGACTACAGTCTTGGCAAGTTTTCGGTGCCAGTGCTGTGGGACAAGGAGCGGAAAACAATTGTGAACAATGAAAGCTCTGAGATCATCCACTGTTCAACAACGAGTTCGGCAAATTATCAGCCACGCATGCTGACCGGGACCTTATGCCGCCTCATCTGAAGGCTTTTGAAAAACTGTTCAATGCTTTGGATCGTTGCGAAGAAATTCTGTCTAAGCAAAGATACCTGACTGGAAACACACTGACGGAGGCCGACATCCGTTTGTTCGTTACACTCATAAGATTTGATGCGGTGTATGTTGTGCATTTCAAGACGAACAAGAAGCTGATCAGGGAGTATCCAAATCTTTTCAACTATACAAAGGATATATACCAAGTACCCGGGATGGCGAAGACTGTCGACATGTATCATATTAAGAAACACTATTTCATGAGTCATCCTTCCATCAACCCCCATGGCATCATCGCACGACGTGCGGATATCGACTTTTTCGCACCCCATGATCGTGAACGGGTTGGTAAACACTGAGAGGGATCCTGTCTGTTTTAAATGATGTGTGTGCACAACTGCATCGTTGTGCCGGTGTCATGCCTACCTTTGCATTTTGCGAGTTGCTTCTTGTTATAATCAACTGGTTACGCATCTGATGGACAGTGCAAGGACTGAGACCTCGGATGGCCCTTCTCGGGCACACAGACATTCTGGGATCAGGCCCCAGCCAGCAAGCCTCGTGCCTGCCCTAAATGAAGGCGGGCCTGGCCTGCATATTCGCTCGAGGCCTATTTTTGGCCATTTTCGTATGTGAGGTATCAGACAGTTGCAGCACACCAGTTGGTTACAGAGCAACGTGAGCCTTCCCTGGCTCCTTCCAGAAGCAGCAGCTGCGTTGGACGGTTGAGCCCAGGGCTCAATCGGTTAGGGCACTGGGCACATGCATGCATTCAGAGGCCGACAAGTCACGCAGCGGTCACGGACCAATGAGAAAGCAGCTCCTTCGTCGCATGCATGCCACGAGCCAATGGGATTGTGCCGAACACTCGGGAGACTCGTGGGCTACCTGGATGTGCCTAACTGCACGAGGCCCAGGCCAGTATCTGAAACTGGGCCTGGCCGCAGCTACTGGGTCCCAACTGGAAGCGACTGGAAACCTGCCCAGTCAGGCCCAGGGCACGACAAGCAGTCTCACTTTCCATAAAGGAAAGTGAGCTCGCCAGCCAGAGGCATTCTGGCCTGTGCAGGCAATGCGGCCATTGACTCACGCGCAGCTGCGCTAGCTCTGCTGGCCAGGGTGCGCACAGGCGCTGGAGGTGAGAGGGGGCGCTGCGGTGGCAGCGGGCATACGGCGGCCATAGCCGGGCTGCTGGGCGCATGGTGGCCTTCGGGTAGGAGGCGTATGCAGAGGGGAGTCGGGGATGATGAGGAGAGGAGTGAGACACGTCCCTGGTGTATGCTGGCAGTCTGCATTGGCAATGACGTCAT